TTTTTTTTTTTTTGAGATGGAGTCTTGCTCCGTCTCCCAGGCTGGAGTGCAGTGGCGTGCTCTCAGCCTGAGCCACTGCACCCAGCCTTTTTTTTTTTTTTTTTTTTTCTCTCTGAGGCGGAGTCTCACTCTGTCACCCAGGCTGGAGTGCAATGGCGCAACTTCGGCTCACTGCAACCTCCGCCTCCCGGGTTCAAGTGATTCTCCTGCCTCAGCCTCCCAAGTAGTTGGGATTACAGGCATACACACCACGCCTGGCTAGTTTTTTGTATTTTTAGTAGAGATGGGGTTTTGCCATGTTGGCCAGACTGTTCTCGAACTCCCTACCTCGGGTGATCTGCCTGCCTCAGCCTCCCAAAGTGCTGGGATGACAGGTGTGAGCGACCGCGCCTGGCCATTTGCTCTGATCTTGTATGGCATCCAGGAGGACAAGTGCAGGAGACAATTGGAAAGTGAATCCCTGAGCTCAGAGATCCATTTCAGTCTCTTCTCTGGAGAAGCTCAGAGGACCTCCCCACTGAGGTGAAAAGAGAGAGGAGTTCCAAGGACACCCTCCTTCTCAAATGCCTGTCACTTTCCATTTTCCTGCCTTGGTTCCCACTCCTCCCTCCTCTTGTCCAAAGGTGTCTAAGAGGGCCAGGCGCGGTAGCTCATGCCCGTAATCCCAGCACTTTGGGAGGCCAAGGCAGGCCGATCACGAGGTCAGAGTTTAAGACAGCCTGGCCCACATGACGAAACCCCGTCTCTACTAAAAATACAAAGATTTGTGGCCGGGCGCGATGGCTCAAGCCTGTAATCCCAGCACTTTGGGAGGCCAAGACGGGCAGATCACGAGGTCAGGAGATCGATAGCATTCTCCTGGCTAACACGGTGAAACCCCGTCTCTACTAAAAAATACAAAAAACTAGCCGGGCGTGGCAGCGGGCGCCTGTAGTCCCAGCTACTCGGGAGGCTGAGGCAGGAGAATGGCATGAACCTGGGAGGCAGAGCTTGCAGTGAGCTGAGATTGCGCCACTGCGCTCCAGCCTGGGTGACAGAGCGAGACTCCATCTCAAAAAAAAAAAAATACAAAAATTCGCTAGGCGTGGTGGCTCGTGCCTGTAATCGCAGCTACTCGGGAGGCTGAGGCAGGAGAATTGCTTGAACCTGGGAGGCAGAGGTTGCAGTGAGCTGAGATGATGCCACTGCACTCCAACCCAGGCAACAGAGCAAGACTCCTTTTCAATAAATAAATAAATAAATAAATAATGTCTAAGAATAATCACAGACCACACCGACATGTGAATGAATGCTCAATGCTCACCCAGCCCTAAGCCAGTGGTCAGTGTGTTAATAGAGGGACACTTGCCAATGTTGGGACATCTGTGGTTGTCACAACTTGGAGGTGCTCCGGATGTGGAGTGGGTGGAGGCCAGGGATGCTGCTCAGCACCCTGCAGTGCCCAGGACAGCCCCACCCTAGAGAAAGATCCAGCCTCAAATGCCCACAGTGCCTCCTTGGTGCCTGTCCCATTATCTATCTAATTTAACTGTTAAGAAATTGAGAGGGAGAATTTCAGAGAGGGAAATCGATTAGCTCAAGGTCACACAGCAAGGATGATATAACCAAACTGAATTCAAGCCCCTGTCGCCTGTCTGCTGGGTCGTTCTTAAATTCTGGCTCTGGAAGTCCTCGATTTTGTTGTTGTTGTTTGTTTTTGTTATTATTTGTTTGTTTTGCAATGGAGCCTCGCTCTGTCACCCAGGCTGGAGTGCAGTGACGCCATCTCGGCTTACTGCAACCTCTGCCTCCCAGGTTCAAGCAATTCTCCTGCCTCACATCCTGAGTAGCTGGGATTACAGGTGCCCGCCACCACACCCAGTTAATTTTTGCATTTTTAGTAGAGACAAGGTTTCACTATGTTGGTCAAGCTGATCTCGAACTCCTGACCTCAAGTGATCCGCCCGCCTCGGCCTCCCAAAGTGCTGGGATTAGAGGCGTGAGCCACCGCTCCTGACCTCCAGGGCTCCTTCTAAAATGCCAGCTACCTGTAAGGGTCTTGGTTGTGCTCCCAGAGTCTCCAGGCCTGCGAATGCTGCGTGGCATCCAGTAGGTGCTCAATAAATACTTATTGCATGAAGGAGCACTCCCCCAAGTGTTCATCTGATGCATATTTGCGGAGCACCTGCCGTGGGCCAGGCAATGGGTACGCAGTAGTGACTAAGAGGAACCCAAGGCTCCTCCTCTGCTGGAGGAGCTGCGGGTCCCGGGAGTGGCGGAAATGGACCGGAAATGGCTAGAGAATGTCAGAGCTGCGCCAGGGCCAGCTAGCTGTTTCTGTGAGTCACAGTTTTATTGTGCGCTTACTGTATGCCAGGCACCGGTCGACTGAGTGCTGCGTAGTACTTGGGAATCCTCCCAGTAACCCTCCGCCGTAGGAACTATTTATTATGAAACCCATTTTAGAGAGGAGGAAAGTGAAGTCCAAAACTGGTAAGTCTGTTGGCCCAGTCCTATAGGCAGGAAAGGCTGGGGCAGGGGCGGGGTGCTGGATTCAAATTCAGGTGTGTAGGACTGCAGATCCCCATTGATGAATGAATGAATGAATGAATGAATGAACAAATGAGTGATTGAATGAATGAATGGGTGAGCCAGTGGGTGAATGAATGAACGAATGGGCATGCCAATGAATGAGCAAATGAATGTGAGAATGAATGAATGGTGCGGGAATGAACAAATGAATGAATGGGTGTGTGAACAAATGAATGGATGAATGGGTGAGCCAACAAATGAATTAACAAATGAGTGAATGAATGAATGCAGGAATGAGTGAATGCAGGAAGGAATGGTGCAGGAATGAATGAATGGGTGATACAAGAATGAACGAATGAACAAATGGATGAGCCAGTGAATGAATGAAAGGGTGAGCAAATAAATGGGTGAAGGAATGAACGAGTGGGTGAACGAATGACTGAATGAACGAATGACTGAGTGAATGAACGAATGAATAAACCAATGAACGAATGAGTGAGTGAATGAATGAATGGCTGAGCCCGTGAATGAATGAACGAGCGAATGAATGAATGAGTGACTGAAAAGGTGAGCGAATAAACAAATGGATGAATGAATGAATGAACAAGTGAATGAACGAATGAATAAGTGAATGAATGAATGGGTGAGTGAATGAATGAAAGTGAGCGAATAAACAAATGGGTGAAGGAATGAACAAGTGGTTGATCGAATGAACTAGTGAATGAACGAATAAGTGAATGAACGAACGAATAAGTGAATGAACGAATGGGTGAGTGAATGAATGAATGGGCGGGACGGTGAATGAATGAACGAATGGTTGAACGAATGAGTGAGTGAATGAATGAAAGCGTGAGTGGCGATAGCCTGCCGGCCGCTTGGCGGTGCGAGGCTGCGGAGGCCCGGAGGCACCTGCGCGCCCTTGGCGGACTCGGAGGAGGCGGAGATGGACGCCCGCGGGTCCCCTGGAGATGCAGCCAGCCGCTTGCGCGGGTGAGGGAACCCGGCCCCCGGCGCCGCGTCCTCATCCTCTCCAGGCGACAAGGTCAGGAGGGGCCGGGGCGGCGCCCCCTCCCTCAGCGCCCAGCCCCCTTCCTGGGTCTTCCCATTCCATCCCGTGGGGGAGGGGGCTGTCGAGGGGGGCGAGGGGGAGGGGGCGGCACCAGGGAGGGCGGGACCGGGCGGGCGGGGCGGGGAGCTCCGGCAGCGCCCAGCCCCGCCTTCCGGCCGCTCCCCGCGGTCCCTCCAGCCCCTCCGGCCGCCGCCTCATCCTGGAACCCCGTGCGCCCCCCGCGCCCCGCGCCCCGGACGCCATGAAGCAGCTGTGTCTGTGCGCAGCCGCCTCCTTCGCGGTAGGGCCTGGGGAGGGGGCGCGGGAGCGGGCGGGGCGCGGGTACTTCCTCTTCCCTCTCTTCCCAGTCCCCGGCTGACCTGGACCACCCCCTCATTCCAGACCCGGGAAAGATGGGCGGGGGAGGGGACAGAGGTTGGGGCAGCTTTTGGGGGGATGGAAGAGACATTTGGGGAGACATGTGGACATGTTGTGGAAGACACTTGGAAACAAACGGGGACATTTAGGAGCATTTAGAGGGCATTGGGGGGTGCAGTTTTGGGAAAACATTTTGGAGACAGATGGGGTCACTGAGGGGACAACTTGGAGGCTATTTTGGGAGAGCCGATTTTGCGAAGAGGTAATGGTTTGGAGAACAGTTTTGAAGAACAGTTGAGGGATGTTTTTGGAGGATATTTTTGGGACATGACAGGCTCATTGGGAAGGATGGTTTTACAGAACACTTCAGGAATTTCGGGGAGACATTTTGTAATGCATTTCAGGCTATAGTTTTGGGAGGAGAAGCCTCGGGATGTTTAGGGGACAGTGGTGGCATTTCAGGGCAGTTGTGGATAAACAGTGCAGAGAATGATCCTGAGAGACGTTTAGGGGGCCTTTTAGGGGTTCAGATGGGACTTTGGAGGGTAGTTTGGAAAAGACTGATGGATCCATTTGCTGGGGGCGATGTTGCAGGGGTGGTTTTCACTAACGGATGAGTTGTGGGACAACTTTTTTTGTTGTACACACAAGGGGTCTTGCTGTGTTGCCCAGGCTGGTCTCAAAATTCCTGGGCTCAAATGATCCTCCCACCTCAGCCTCCCAAGCAGCTACAGGCATGAGCCACCACGCCCTGCTGACTTTTTTTATTTTTTGTAGAGACGGGGTCCTACTGTGTTGCCCAAGTTGGTCTCAAACTCCTGGGCTCAAGCGATCCTCCCACCTTGGCCTCCCCAAGTGCTGGGATGACAGGCGTGAGCCCCCGCGCCTGGTCCAGGGAACAACCTTTTGGAAACAGATGCCAGGGGGCTGCTCAGGGGATGATGCTGGTGGTGGGCTTTTGTTGGACAACTGGGGTGATGGGCCTGGGGGCAGATGCTGGGGGTCGCAGGCTTGGGGAACACTGTCTGAGGACCCCCTCGCCCAGGACCACCTCCCCCTGCAGCTGCGGCTCAGCCCCACTGACCTTGGCTCCTGCCCGCCCTGCGGCCCCTGCCCCATCCCGAAGCCGGCAGCCAGAGGCAGGCGCCAGGCAAGTGCCCAGGGGCAGGTGGTGAGAGCCCGGAGGCCCTGTCAGGGGGCACGGGGAGGGGGCAGGGGCCAACCCTGCCCCACGCACCTCTGGGTGTGCCCTGCAGAGTCAAGACTGGGGCAAGAGTGACGAGAGGCTGCTACAAGCTGTGGAAAACAACGATGCACCTCGGGTGGCCACCCTCATCGCCCGCAAGGGACTGGTGCCCACGAAGCTAGACCCCGAGGGCAAGTCCGCGTGAGTGCCCGTGACCCGGGAGAGAGATGGCTGAGGGGTGCAACCTGCTGGCTGAACCCTTGTCTCTCACTTCCAGGTTCCACCTGGCAGCCATGCGGGGTGCAGCCAGCTGTCTGGAGGTGATGATAGCTCATGGTGCCAATGTCATGAGCACAGATGGGGCAGGTACTGCCAGCTGGGCCCCAGGGAGGGAGGAGGAACTCAGCCCAGGTGCCCAGTCTGAGCATCCAGCCAGGCCCTGATTCCAGGCCTCAATGTTGCCCGCTGAAAATGGGGGAGGCTCCCTCTGGCGCCCCTCCCCTGCCCCCAGGGAGACACACAGGGGCATGTTAGGATGGGGTGTCCAAAGACAGAGACTGTGGCTGGCACCGAGCAAAGCGAGTGGACAGCTTGTGGATGGGGAGTGACTAGGATTCAGGTATTGGTTCAGTTGGTTGAGGAAATAGCTGGCACAGGGAAGTAACTGGGGCTTGGGGGATAGCTGCAAAGTTTCTGGGGTTTTGTTGTTTTGTTTTGTTTTTCTTTTTTTAGGGGAGGGACACAGTCTCCCTTTGTCACCCAGGCTTGAGTGCAATGGGCATGATCTCAGCTCACTGCAGTCTCCACCTCCCGGGCCCAAGAGATTCTCCAACCTCAGCCTCCCAAGTAGCTAGGACTACAGGCGCACACCACCACGCCCAATTAATTTTTCTATTCTTAGTAGAGATATGGTCTCCCTGTGTTGCCCAGGCCAGTCTTGAACTCCTGGGCTCTAAGTGATCCTTCCACCTCAGCCTCCCAATGTGTTGAGATTACAGGTGTGAGCCACCATGCCCAGCCTGGGGAAGTTTCTAGAAAGTGACTGAGGCAGAGGAAGAACCTGGGGCTTGGGAGATAACTGGGACTATTGGACGAACTAAGCTTTGAGGTGTATCTGGGATGTGGGAGTATCCGAGATCAAGGAAGTGACTGAAGGGAACTACTTGGAGTTTGGAGGAGGAACTGGATTCATGAGAGTAGCTGAGCTTGCAAAGTATCTGGGGCAGGAGAATAACAAGTAGAGTTTGGGGAATATCTGAGGTATGTGGGATAGCTGGGATCTAGAAGTAGCTGGAGTTGTGGGAGCAGGTGGAGCTGTGGGAGTAGCTTGAGCTCTTGGAGTAGCTGGGGTACAAGGAGAACTTGTATGTATGTATGACTTACCTGGGGACCTGGGGGGAATAACTGAGATGAAAATGTGTGGCCAAAAGGACTAGTTGGGGCTCAGGAGGCAACTAGCATGGGGACACAGTTAAATCTGAAGCTTTAGGGCCACAGGCATGATGGGCAGGGTATATGGAGTAGCTGGGGATTCTTGGAGCATCAAACAGGGACAGAGTTGGCATGTGGAAGAGCAAGGGTATGTGGATTGGAAGAACATGTACAGCAACTGTGGGTTTTGAAGGGCAGAGCTGAAACTTTGGTGTAGTTGACCCTGTAGAGTATCTGGGGATATGGGGAGTAGCTGAGGCAATAGGGCTTGAGGAATAGGGGGGTGTGGAGAGTCACTGAGGTGGGATTGTCTGGAATACAGACTAGCCACGGCTTGGAGAGTCTCTGGGTACAGGGAATAGCATGGTTTTGAGAAGCACCTGACGGTGGGGCACAATGGCTCATGCCTGTTAATCCCAGCACTTTGGGAGGCTAAGATGGGAGGATCACATGAGCCAAGGAGTTCAAGACCAGCTTGGGCAACATAGCAAGACCCCCGTCTCTACAGAAAATACAAATACAGTAGCCAGACATGGTGGCACTTGCTTGTAGTCTCAGCTACTCGGGAGGCTGAGACAGGAGGATCGCTTGAGCCTAGGTGTTCAAGCCTACAGTGAGCTATGGTCACACTGCACTCTAGCCTGGGTGACAGAGCAAGATCCTGTCTGTAGGGAAAAAAGGGAGAAATACTAGGGTTCAGGGACTTTGCTAGATACAGAAATTCATCACAAGTCATTGACATGGCTTGGGGAGCAGCTGGGAGCTACTTGAATAGCTGGAGCTCCAGTAAATCTTCTTTCCTTCCCCAGGTTACAATGCCCTCCACCTGGCCGCCAAATACGGGCACCCACAGTGCTTGAAGCAACTACTGCAGGTCATTTACTTTCTTATCTCAGCTACTCCGTTGGCCCCTACTACTCCTGAGTTCCAGCAGTTCCTTGAACCCCCAGATGCTCTATGAATCCTAGATATTCCTTGGCCCCTTTTACTCCAGAACCCTAGCTACTCCCTGGATAACCAGATACTCTCAGACCATCCACATGCTTCTCTTATTTAAGATATACTCCCGAGCCGGGCGTGGTGGCTCAGGCCTGTACTCCCAGCACTTTGGGAGGCTGAGGCCGGTGGATCGCCTGAGGCCAGGAGTTCGAGACCAGCCTGGCCAACATAGTGAAACCCTGTCTCTACTATAAATACAAAAAATTAGCTGGGAGTGGTGGCGTGTGCCTATAATCCCAGCTACTAGGGAGGCTGAGGCAGGAGAATCCCTTGAACTCGGGAGGCGGAGGTTGCAGTGAGCCAAGATCACGCCATTGCACTCCAGCCTGGGCAACGAGTGAAACACCATCTAATAAAAAATATATATATATATATGTACATATACTCCCAGTGCCAGGTATTTCCTGAGTTCTGTTTCTCCCCAAGCCCTAGGTCCTTTCTTAGACCCAGACACTCGCAGAGTTCCCAGCTACTCCCCAAATTCCCAGCTGCTTCTCAGCTCCCAGCTATTTTCTTTTCTCACCAAGTTTCATGAAAATGGAGTCACGTGGGGACCAGGGAAGGGTGGGGCTGAAGTATAGCAGAGCCCAGGGTGGGGAAGACAGTCCTAGAGAAATCAGGCAGCAAGAAGGATGGCTCCGCCTCAAAGGACTCGCCCCATCCCCAGGCTTCCTGCGTGGTGGACGTCGTGGACAGCAGCGGGTGGACTGCCCTACACCATGCAGGTGGGTGCAGCCCAGCCCTGCCCTGACCCCGTAGCCCAGAGGGTGCTAGACTTGGGGGTTATTCTACCCAGGACCCTAGGGATCTGACATGCTGTGAAGCTTTCTGTTTCCTCCTTTCTTTTTTTTTTTTTTTTTTTTTGAGACAGAGTCTCACTCTGTTGCCCAGGCTAGAGTGCAGTGGTGAGATCTCAGCTCACTGTAACCTCCACCTCCCAGGTTCAAGCAGTTTTCCTGCCTCAACCTCCCCAGCAGCTGGGACTACAGGCACCTGCCACCACGCCTCCTAATTTTTTTGTATTTTTAGTAAAGACGGGGTTTCACCATGTTGGCCAGGATGGTCTCGAACTCCTGACCTCAGGTGATCCACCTGCCTTGGCCTCCCAAAGTGCTGGGATTACAGGCGTGAGCCACCACTCCTGGCATTCCTTTTCTTTTTATGAAATAGGGTCTTGCTCTGTTGCCCAGGCTGAAGTACAGTGGTGCAATCATGGCTCACTGCATCCTTGACCTCCTGGGTTCAAACAATCCTGCCTCAGCCTCCCAAGTAACTGGGACCACAGGCATGCACCACCATGCCTGGCTAACATTTTAAATTTAGTTGTAGATACAGGATCTTGCTATGTTGCCCAGACTGATCTCAAACTCCTGGGCTCAAGTGATCCTCCCACCTCAGCCACTCAAAGTGCTGGAATTACAAGCATGAGTCACCCCACCTAGCCTCCTTTTTTTTTTTTTTTTTTGAGATAGAATCTCCCTCTGTCGCTCAGGCTGCAGTTCAATGGTGCAATCTCGGCTCACTGCAACCTCCACCTCCCAGGTTCAAGCAATTCTTCTGCCTTAGCCTCCTGAGTAGCTGGGAATACAGGCCTGTGCCACAACACCTGCCTAAAATTTTTTTGTATTTTTAGTAGAGGCAGGGTTTCACCATGTTGACCAGGCTGGTCTTGAACTCCTGACCTCAGGTGATCTGCCCGCCTCGGCCTGCCAAAGTGCTGGGGTTACAGGCGTGAGCCACCATGCCAGCCCTTCTCCTCCTTTTTTATTACCTACTGTATGCCAGGCACTGGAGCCCATCATAAATCCCGGTTACCCTTTGAACTGCAGGCTTTTAGCCCATTGCACAGATGAGGCTTAACTTGTCCGCAGGTAAGTCGTAGGGAATCCAGGTCATCTGACCTCAAGGAGCAGCCGATTGTACTCCTGGTCTTTGTGAGGATGAGGAGAGGTCCCTAGGGTTTAATTTCCTTTGAGGAGCTCCTAGGAGATATCAGGAAAACCATAACTTCAGGCAGCTGGCACCCTCATAATCACCAAATCCAATCTCCTTCCCAGAGGGAGGGAAAGGGGCCCACGGATGTGAACCAGAACCCACAGCCCCCGATCTGTCCGCTGTGCCCATGAAATTCAGGCGTGGCTTTCGCTGCCGACTCACGAAACATCTGTTCTTTTGGAAACTCAGAATAAAATTGGGCTTTTGGGATTTTAGTCCCTGAGTGAGAATTCCCTGCAGTTGGAGTATGCTGCCACCTAGTGGCAGCAATGCCTCTGGTAACAATACAGGAGCCCGTTGGTTTTTGTCATTCAACAGTTACCGAGCACTTTGGAAGGCCCAGGCAGGCAGATTACTGGAGGTCAGGAGTTCGAGAATAGCCTGGCCAACATGGTGAAACCCTGTCTCTACTAATAATAAAAAATTAAGGCCAGGCGCGGTGGCTCACGCCTGTAATCCCAGCACTTTGGGGGCCCGAGGCGGGCGGATCGAGACCATCCTGGCTAACCCGGTGAAACCCCGTCTCTACTAAAAATACAAAAAATTAGCTGGGTGTGGTGGCAGGCGCCTGTAGTCCCAGCTACTCGGGAGGCTGAGGCAGGAGAAGCGCTTGAACCTGGGAGGCGGAGGTTGCAGTGAGCCGAGATCGCACCACTTGCGTAGCCTGGGCAACAGAGCAAGACTCCATCTCAAAAAAAACAAACAACAACAGAAAACAGTTATTGAGTACCTACTGTGTGTCAGGCACTGTTCTACATGTTGTAGATAAGGTTTGCAGCAATCAAAACCTCATACTCCCTCAGACACACAGCAGGTACCCAAATAGAGTTTATTGACTAAAAAATGGATTTTTGTGCATAGACTGTATGTCAACCTGCTGGAATTCACACCCAGGGATTCCAGAGACTGTTCTTGTCTCAGCTGCACAGCCTCCTGGGGAGCCTCCCTGTCTCCACTCTGGTCCTGCGCAAATGGCAGTAGGAGGGATCTCTTAAAATATAAATAGGCCAGGCACAGTGGTGCAGGCCTGTAATCCCAGCGCTATGGGAGGCAGAGGTGGGAGGATTGCTTGAGCCCAGGAGTTTGAGACCAGCCTGGACAACATGGCAAAACCCCGTCTCTACTAAAAATGTAAAAATTAGCCAAGTGTGATGGCTCATGTCTATAATCCCAGCTACTCGGGAGGCTGAGGCAGGAGAATCGTTGGAACCCAGGAGGCGGAGGTTGCAGTCATCCAAGATCATACCCCTGCACTCCAGTGTGGGTGCAGAGGGAGACTCTGTCTCAAAAAATAAAAATAAAATAAAATAAAATAAAATAAAATAAAATAAATAAATACAGAAGCGGGGCCGGGCGTGGTGGCTCCACCCTATAATCCCAGCCCTTTGGGAGCCAGAGGCAGGAGGATTGCTTGAGCCTGGGAGTTTGAGACCAGCCTGGGCAATATAGTGACATTCCATTTCCATAAAAAAAATCCAAGGCCGGGCGCGGTGGCTCAAGCCTGTAATCCCAGCACTTTGGGAGGCCGAGACGGGCGGATCACGAGGTCAGGAGATCGAGACCATCCTGGCTAACACAGTGAAACCCCGTCTCTACTAAAAAATACAAAAAACTAGCCGGGTGAGGTGGCGGGCGCCTGTAGTCCCAGCTACTCGGGAGGCCGAGGCAGGAGAATGGCGTGAACCTGGGAGGCGGAGCTTGCAGTGAGCGGAGATCCGGCCACTGCACTCCAGCCTGGGTGACAGAGCAAGACTCCGTCTCAAAAATAATAATAATAATAATAAAATAAAAAATCCAAAAGAAAATTAGCCAGGAGTGGTGGTGCATGCCCACACTCCCGGCCACTCAGGAGGCCAAGGCGAGCAGATTGCTTGAGCCCAGGACTTCAAGAAAAGCCTGGGCAACATAGCAAGACCCTGTCTCTTAAAAATACAAAATAAAGTAAAAATTAGCCAGTCATAGTTGCACATTCCTGTAGTGTGGGTCTCGTGCCTGTAATCCCAGCCCCTCAGGAGGCCGAGGCAGGAGGATTGCTTGAGCCCAGGAGTTCGAGACCAGCCTGGGCAACACAGTGAGACCCCGTCTCTACAGAAAGTAGAGGGAACCACAGTGCTTGGGACTAGCAGTTGGCAGACCTAGATCCTAGATCTGACTCTTCCTGTGACCCCACTGGGTGACCCCAGGCCTGGTTGGGCCTCGCTTTCTGCATCTGTAAAATGCAAAATTTGCCTTTGTTACAAATCTCCCAGGGTACGTGGGAATTTCTCATGAAATAAAGGGGCAGGGGCAGGCCGGGCGCGGTGGCTCAAGCCTGTAATCCCAGCACTTTGGGAGGCCGAGACGGGCGGATCACAAGGTCAGGAGATCGAGACCATCCTGGCTAACATGGTGAAACCCCGTCTCTACTAAAAATACAAAAAAACTAGCCGGGCGAGGTGGCGGGCGCCTGTAGTCCCAGCTACTCGGGAGGCTGAGGCAGGAGAATGGCGTAAACCCGGGAGGCGGGGCTTGCAGTGAGCTGAGATCCGGCCACTGCACTCCAGCCTGGGCGACAGAGCGAGACTCCGTCTCAAAAAAAAAAAAAAAAGAAATAAAGGGGCAGGGTCACACCCAGGCAGAAAGTCCCCAGAAAAGGTTGAAGTCTCACTCTACCCCTACTCTTCCCCCTTTTGTTTTTCTTCCTTTCTTTTCTTGGTTTTTGAGACAAGGTCTCACTCTGTCACCCAGGCTGGTGTGCAGTGGCGCCATCATGGCTCACTGCAGCCTTGAACTCCTGAGCTCAAGCAGTCCTCCTGCTTCAGCCTCCCGAGTAGCTGGTTCCACAGACACATGCCACCACACCCAGATAATTTTTGCTTTTTTTTTTTTTTTTTTTTTTTTTTTTAGAGACAGGATCTTGCTATGTTGGCCCAGGTTGGTCTCGAACTCCTGGGCTCAAGTGATCCTCCTGCCTCGGCCTCCCAAGGTGCTGGGATTACAGGGTTGAGCTACCACACCAGACAACCTTTTCTCTTTTGCAGTGGCTGGTGGCTGTCTCTCCTGTTCAGAGGTGCTCTGCTCCTTCAAGGCACATCTAAACCCCCAAGATCGGGTAAGCTTCTGGGATCTCTTTGGGGAAGATGTTATGCTTGAGGTATGCTGCCACCAAGTGGCAGTATCTCAGGCACCCTTTGAAAGCCTGAGAAAGTTCAAGGTGAAAACTCAAGGGCGGTTATATAGGCTTCTGCACCTCCCGGGGGTCAGTTTCTCATGCCATCGCATCCCTCCTCCTCCCTACCAGTCAGGTGCAACACCCCTCATTATAGCAGCTCAGATGTGTCACACAGACCTGTGCCGTCTCCTACTGCAGCAAGGGGCTGCAGCGAATGATCAGGACCTGCAAGGCAGGTGAGCATCTCCCCTCCCAGCCAGTCCACCCTATGCTGTGTGACCTTGGGCAAGACTCTTAACTTCTCTGAGTAAAGCGATCTAGCCAGCCTCCTCTTCCTAGCCCGGCCTGGGTGCTGAGGTGGGCGTGGGGGCTTGGGGGATGTTCTCATCTCCTCAGTAGCCCCCTCCCCTGGTAGGACGGCCCTGATGCTGGCCTGTGAGGGGGCCAGCCCGGAAACAGTGGAAGTCCTGCTGCAGGGCGGAGCCCAGCCGGGCATCACCGATGCGCTGGGGCAGGACGCGGCTCACTATGGCGCGCTGGCGGGGGACAAGCTCATCCTGCACCTTCTGCAAGAGGCGGCCCAGCGCCCCTCCCCACCCAGCGGTATGCAAGCCCCATCTCCCCGCTGCATTTGCTTCTTGGCAGCTTCTTGTCACCCCTTTTCTTTATCGTGAATAGTTTCAAGGTACCCCCGACTGTCTGCATTCTAGGAGGTCCCAGAGCTTACCCAATTCTACTCAGAACAGTTTCAAGGAGCCCCAGGGCATTTAGAGTAGTCTAGGAGGGGGTCTGCTTCTCCTTTCATGGGTCATCTGTACAGTAAGAACTTTGTTGGCCATTGGTGGCTCACGCCTGTAATCCCAGCACTTTGGGAGGCCAAGGTGGGTGGATCATGAGGTCAGGAGATCAAGACCATCCTGGCTAACATGGTGAAACCCCATCTCTACTAAAAATACAAAAAAATGAGCCGGGCGTGGTGGTGGGCGCCTGTAGTCCCAGCTACTTGGAAGGCTGAGGCAGGAGAATGGGGGTGCGCGGTGGCGGCCTGTAGTCCCAGCTACTTGGAAGTCTGAGGCAGAAGAACGGGGTGAACCCGGGAGGCGGAGCTTGCAGTGAGCCGAGATCGTGCCACTGCGCTCCAGCCTGGGCAACAGAGCGAGACTCCGTCTTAAAAAACAAAACAAGGCCGGGCGCGGTGGCTCAAGCCTGTAATCCCAGCACTTTGGGAGGCCGAGACGGGCGGATCATGAGGTCAGGAGATCGAGACCATCCTGGCTAACCCAGTGAAACCCCATCTCTACTAAAAAATACAAAAAACTAGCCGGGCGAGGTGGAGGGCGCCTGTAGTCCCAGCTACTCGGGAGGCTGAGGCAGGAGAATGGCGTAAACCCGGGAGGCGGAGCTTGCAGTGAGCTGAGATCTGGCCACTGCACTCCAGCCTGGCCGACAGAGCGAGACTCCATCTCAAAAAAAACAAAAACAAAAACAAAAACAAAAAAACCAAAAAACAAAACAAAACTTTGTGTCTCCTAAGAAGGGCATCCCTGCTAGGCAAGGTGGCTCATGCCTGTAATCCCAGCACTTTGGGAGGCCGAGGTGGGCGAATCACTTGAGGTCAGGGGTTCGAGACCAGCTTGACCAACATGGTGAAACCCTGTCTCCACTAAAAATACAAAAATTAGCCACACGTGGTTCAAACAAATCTCCTGCCTCATCCTCCTGAGTAGCTGGGACTCCAGGTGCCTGCCGCCACGCCTGGCCAATTTTTGTTTTTTTAGTGGAGTCGGGGTTTCACCACATTGGCCAGGCTGGTCTCGAACTCCTGAACTCAGGTGAACCACCCGCCTCGGCCTCCCAGAATGCTGGGATTACAGGCATGAGCCACCACACCCGGCCTGTCCTCTCTTTTTAAGAGTCCCAAGTTGCTCTATCAGCACTCTACCCAAGCACCAGATTTCTACCTTAAAGGCCCTGATTCTTGGGGAAATCAGGAACCCCCTACAAGTCCCTGGGGCCCACCAATGCCCTTCCTGGGGCTGGGAACAGAATGTCTGACCCTGCTTCCCTCTCTCCCCGGCCCTCACAGAGGATGACTCAGGCGAGGCGTCATCTCAGGTATGGACCCCTAAGCAGTGAAGGAGCCCCTCCTCCCTGCAACCACACTAACTTCTCCCCTGCCCCAAGCTCTGTGAGAAGAGAAGGAAGTTAGACCTGGGAAAACCTGTTTGGAAAGAATCCTACCTTCAGGGTATGCTGCCACCAAGTGGCGGCAGTGTGCCCAGCCTAACTCCCAGAACTGGGTGAGAATACTGGGGGGATGGGGCCAAATTATGGGGCTGGGGTCGTAGGGCAGTGGGGACTGAGGTTGTTGAGGGTTGTTGTCTTCAGGGAGGGAAGCAGATCTGGCCTCTTCCCCTCTTTCAGTTTTTTTTTTTTTTTTCCCTGCGAGACGGAGTCTCGCTCTGTTGCCCAGGCTGGAGTGCAGTGGCTCGATCTTGGCTCACTGCAACCTCCACCCCCTGAGTTCAAGCGATTCTCCTGCCTCAGCCTCCCTGGTAGCTAGGATTACAGGCACCCACCACACCTGGCTAATTTTTGTATTTTTAGTAGAGACGGGGTTTGACCATGCTGGCCAGGCTGGTCTCAAACTCCTGGCCTCAAGTGATCCACCCGCCTCAGCCTCCCAAAGTGCTGGGATTATAGACGTGAGCCACCGTGCCCAGCCCCTCCCAGTTTTTTTGTTTGTTTGTTTTTTGGTTTTTGTTTTGTTTATTTTTTGAGAGATGGAGTCTCGCTCTGTCACCCAGGCTGCAGTGCAGTGGTGTGATCTCAACTCACTGCGACCTCCACCTCCCGAGTTCAAGTGCTTTTTCTGCCTCAGTTTCCTGAGTAGCTGGGTGCCACCACACCCAGCTAATTTTTTGTATTTTTTAGTAGAAACAGGGTTTCACTGTATGTTGTTCAGGCTGCTCTCAAACTCCTGACCTCCAGTGACCACCCGCCCTGGCCTCCCAAAGTGCTGGGATTACAGGTGTGAGCCACCGCGCCCAGCCCCTCTCCCAGTTTTAAAGCATCTCTGTTCCACAGAGGAGTGAAAACATGTGGGCACTGTGGTCTAGCTGGGCAAAGAACTGAGGCACAGAGAGGAGCAGAGAGTGAAGAGTAAGATCTGGAACTTACAGGGAGGTGGTCTTGTCTGCGTTTTGCTGGGATAAGCAAGGGGGAGGAGGCAGGGGCTGGTTCCGTGTTTACGGGAAGTCAGGACATGACTGGGGCTGGCTAGGTTGGTTTACTGTCGGGGAGGCTGGCATGGACCCCGATCTGCCCCCTTCACCCTCTCTCCCCTCCCTTCCCAGAACTCTATGTCCAGCCATGGAAAGCAGGGGGCCCCCAAGAAGCGGAAGGCGCCTCCACCTCCCGCCAGCATCCCCATGCCGGTGAGAGATGCTCCGGGTACGGGAGGAGGCGTGGGGAGCCCCCAGGCACAGGGTGGGGCTCTGGCTGAGGCCTGGGATGGGGAAACCTTAGGCCCCATCTAAAGGCCGCGGGCCGGGAGGGGAACAGGATGATCGAGATGCCTATGAGGAGATCGTGAGGCTGCGCCAGGAGAGGGGCCGCCTCCTGCAGAAGATCCGGGGCCTGGAACAGCACAAGGAACGGAGGCAGCAGGAGGTTAGGAGGCCTCCAAGATTTGGGTGTGGGGCCAAGCCCGGGTGGGGTCAATGCAGGCATGAAGAGCCCCCTACTTTTCTCCCACCTTCCCTCCTCCGTCTCTCCCCCTCCCCACTCTGCTGCGGCCACCTGGGCCTCCTCGATGTTCCTCCAACTCACCAGGCGCGGTCCTGCCTCAGGGCCTTTGCACGGCCTGGGTCCTCTGCCTGGAATGCTGTAGCCCCAGATGTTCCCACAGCTCTTTACCTCACCTACGTTATAGGCCCCTTGCCAAAGACACCTCCCATGCCCACTTCTTAAAATTGTTAACACCCAACCAGGCGCAGTGGCTCCGCCTGTAATCCCAGCACTTTGGGAGGCCGAGGCAGGTGGATCACCTGAGGTCGGGAGTTTGAGACCAGCCTGACCAACATGGAGAAACCCCAGTTCTACTGAAAATACAAAACTAACTGGGCGTGGTGGCACATGCCTTAATCCCAGCTACTCAGGAGGCTGAGGCAGGAGAATCGCTTGAACCTGGGAGGCGGAGGTTGCTGTGAGCCGAGATCGTGCCATTGCACTCCAGCCTGGGCAACAAGAGTGAAACTCCATCTTAAAAAAAAAAAAAAATCGGCCGGGCGCGGTGGCTCAAGCCTGTAATCCCAGCACTTTGGGAGGCCGAGGCGGGTGGATCACGAGGTCAGGAGATCGAGACTATCCTGGCTCACATGGTGAAACCCCGTCTCTACTAAAAATACAAAAAGAAAACTAGCCGGGCGTGGTGGCGGGCGCCTGTAGTCTCAGCTACTTGGGAGGCTGAGGCGGGAGAATGGCGTGAACCCGGGAGGCGGAGCTTGCAGTGAGCCGAGATCACGCCACTGCACTCCAGCCTGGGAGACACAGCGAGACTCCATCTCAAAAAAAAAAAAAAATTGTAACACCCGCTCCCCCCTGCCAACTCGCTAGTTCGCTTTATTTTTTATTTATTTATTTTTTGTTTTGTTTTGTTGCCACTCTTGTTACCCAGGTTGGAGTGTAATGGCACAATCTCAGCTCACTGCAACCTCTTTCTCCCAGGTTGAAACAAGTTTCCTGCTTCAGTCTCCCAAGCAACTGGGATTACAGGCGACCACCACCACGCCCAGCTAATTTTGTATTTTTGGTAGAGACGGAGTTTCACTACATTGGTCAGGCTGGTCTCGAACTCCTGACCTCAGGTGATCCACCCACCGCGGTCTCTTAAAGTGCTGGGATTGCAGGTGTGAGACACTGTGCCTGGCCTCTTTATTTTTATTTGCAGCACTTACTGCTATTGGGCATCCATTTATTTTATGTATGTCCACCCATTTGACTATGAGCCTGTGAGGGCAGGCATGGCTGGTCGTGCCTGGGTCACAGTATGGGCATCATCAATATTGATTGGGTGAATGAATATTCAAGTGAGTGGATGAATGAATGGCCGAAACCAGGGTCTGCCCTAGAAGAGGCACTCAGTAAAAACTTTCTGGCCGGGCGCAGTGGCTCACGCCTGTAATCCCAGTACTTTGAGAGGTTGAGGTGGGCGGATCACTTGAGGTCAGGAGTTGGAAATCAGCCTGGCCAACATGGTGAAACACTGTCTCTACTAAAAATACAAAAAAATTTAGCTATGCCGGGCACCGTGGCTCACGCCTGTAATCCCAGCACTTTGGGAGGCCAAGGCAGGTGGATCACCTGAGATCAGGAGTTCGACACCAGCCTGGTCAACATGGCAAAACCCTGTCTCTACTAAAGTACAAAAAATCAGCCAGCCGTGATGGTGCGCACCTGTAGTTCCAGATACTTGGGAGGGTGAGGCATGAGAATCGCTTGAACCCAGGAGGCTGAGGTTACAGTGACCTGAGATTGCACCACTGCACTCCAGCCTGGGTGACAGAGCATGTCAAAAACAAAAAAAATTAGCTGGACCTGGTGGCAGGGGCCTGTAATCCCAGCTACTTGGGAAGCTGAGGTAGGAGAGTTGCTTGAACCTGGGAGGCAGAGGTTGCAGTGAGCCAAGATCGTGCCACTGCACTCCAGCCTGGGTGACAGAGCAAGACTCCGTCTCAACAACAACAACAACAACAAAAAACAAAATAAACTTGTCGAGTGAATGAATGAGCGGATGGAACAGTGCCTGACATACAGCAGGTGCTTAATAAGTACTTAGTAATGAATGGCCAGAATGGTGCATACTGGCACACAGCAGGCACTCAATAAATACTTAGAAATGAATGACTGGTCAGAATGGTGCATGGTGGCACACAGTAGGTGCTCAATAAATACTGAGTGAAAGGTCAGAACAATAGCACAAAGTAGGCACTTAATAAATAGGAATGAATGGGGCCCAGCATACAGCAGGTGCCCAATAAATACTTAGTAATGAGTCATTAAACAGAATGGTACCTGGTACACAGCAGCCACTCAATAAATAGTAATGATTAAGCAGGCAGAATGCAGTAGGTGCTCAATAGTTGCACATGGCCTGTGTGAATGTGCATGGAATGGAGGCTATGAAGCAGGAGGTGGGGCAGGGAGACCTTCTGCCCAGATCCAACCCCCTGTCCCTGCTTCTCCCATCAGTCCCCGGAGGCCAGCTCCCTGCACAGCCTGGAGAGACAGGTAGGTGGGAAGGTGGGGAGGAGCCGGCCTCCCCCTGCCCAGCCTTTCCTGCCAGAGGCAGCTGAGCGTCCACTGCTGCTCACAGGTGCAAGAGCTGCAGCAGCTGCTGGTGGAGAGACAGGAGGAGAAGGAGAGCCTGGGACGGGAGGTGGAGAGTTTGCAGAGCCGGCTGTCCCTGCTGGAGGTAGGAGCAGTGATGAGTCGGGGCTGGGCTGGGGCCGGGGCTGGGTGGGGGAACTTCTCTCCTGCAGCAGTGAAAAGACAGCCACACCAGTGCACGCACAGCCTCACACACATGCAAACGTACCCACCAGACACATGCACTCACAAACCCATAGTCACAGCCGGGCGCAGTGGCTCACGCCCATAATCCCAGCACTTTGGGAGGCCGAGGCAGGTGGAGCACGAGGTCAGGAGATCGAGACCGACCTTCCTTCCTTCCTTCCTTCCTCCTTCCTTCCTTCCTTTTTTTTTTTTTTTTTTTTTGACAGAGTCTTGCTATGTCACCCAGGCTGGGGTGCAATGGTGTGATCTCGGCTCATGGCAACCTCTGCCTCCCGGGTTCATGCCGTTCTCCTGCCTCAGCCTCCCGAGTAGCTGGGACTACAGGTGCCCGCCACCATGCCCGGCTAACTTTTGTATTTTTGGTAGAAATGGGGTTTCACCATATTGGTCAGGCTGGTCTTGAACTCCTGACCTCAGGTGATCCGCCCACCTTGGGCTCCCAAAGTGCTGGATTACAGGTGTGAGCCACCACACCCAGACCCAGAAAGGACTTTTCTTTAAGCATACGTATACACACAGGGATGGGTAACCACTCTCTAGGCACGTGGCAGAGCATAGATAACAGCAGGCACACCCACAAACACACAGTTTACAGACACGCAAGAAACACATCCAAGAATACATCATCACACACACAGGCACTGTGTATGCATCCGTCTCATGCAGTCACGCACAGACAACATGCCCACAAATACATATACATGCAACAAATACTTCTTTTTTTTTTTTTTGAGACAGGATCTTGTTCTGTTGTCCAGGCTGGAGTGCGGTGGCATGATCATGGCTCACTGCAGCCTTGGCTTCCCTGGCCTCAAGCAATCCTCCCACCTCAGCCTCCTGAGTAGCTGGGACCATAGGCGTGTGCCACCACATCTGGCTAATTTTTTTTTTTTTTGGAGAGATGGCGTCTCACTATGTTACCCAGTCTGGTCTCGAACTCCTGGCCTTGAGTAATCCTCCCATCTCTGCTTTCCAAAGTGCTGGGATTGCATAAGCCACTATGCCCCGCCAGTATTTCTGAAAACACATAATTATGCAAACATATATACATACAGACAACCATAGACACAAACACAGAGATCCACAGACACATTAAAAACACAGCCCAAGCCTGTAATCCCAGCACTTTGGGAGGCCGAGACGGGCGGATCACGAGGTCAGGAGATCAAGACCAGCCTGGCTAACACGGTGAAACCCCATCTCTACCAAAAAAGACAAAAAACTAGCCGGGCGAGGTGGCGTGCGCCTGTAGTCCCAGCTACCCGGGAGGCTGAGGCAGGAGAATGGCGGGAACCCGGGAGGCGGAGCTTGCAGTGAGCTGAGATCCGGCCACTACACTCCAGCCTGGGCGACAGAGCGAGACTCCGTCTCAAAAAAAAAAAAAAAAAAACCACACAGCCACACACACCCGCCTAAAACTCAAGCATGAGGCCGGGCACCGTGGCTCACACCTGTAATCTCAGCACTTTGGGTGGCCAAGGCGGGTGGATCACCTGAAGTCAGGAGTTCGAGACCAGCCTGGCCAACATGGGGAAACCCCATCTCTACTAAAAAATACAAAAATTAGCCGGGCATGGTGGTACATGCCTGTAATCCCAGCTACTTTGGAGGTTGAGGTGGGAGAATCGCTCGAATCTGGGAGGCGAAGGTTACAGTGAGCCGAGATCGTGCCACGGCACTCCAGCCTGGGAAAAAGAAAAAAAATGGGGCCAGGCACAGTGGCTTACGCCTGTCATCCCAACACTTTGGGAGGCTGAGGCAGGAGGATGGCTTGAACCCAGGAGTTCGAGACCAGCCTGGGCGACGTGACGAGACTGCATCTCTGCAAAAAAAAAATTAAAAATTAGGCAGGTGTCGTGTTCCACACCCATAGTCCCAGCTGCCTGGGAGGCTGAGGTGGGAGGATTGTTTGAGCCCAGAAGTTGGAGACTGCAGTGAGCTATGATCGCACCACTGCACTCCAGCCTGGGTGACAGATTAAGACCCTGGCTCCAAAATAATAATTTTAAAAAAGCAGGGGAAAGGGGAGTGGCAAAGGACATAGAAGGCGCTCACTAAATCCTTGTGGGCCAAATCTGGTGGGCCAAATGCAGCCATCTGGTACTCATGGGAGACATACAGATATGTGAACAGCCCAGTCCCCACTGGAGTCTTGGTGGGAACACACAGGGGCTGAGAGCAGAACCCCGAGCTGGACTCTGCTCCCTACCCCCAGAACGAGCGGGAGAATACTAGCTATGATGTGACCACTCTGCAGGATGAGGAGGGTGAGCTGCCTGACTTTCCAGGTGAGCCCCCACCTCCCCACGCACTCCTGGCCGCCTTGTCCCCTGGGGCCCTGGGAGACGGAGCCTGGACCTCTAGGTGTGGGGGAGTTTGAAGCTGGGAGGGAGGTATGTACTCTTCCGTTTTTTAAATTCTGCTTGCCTAAGTCTGCCCTGGGGACCCTGATCCACCACTCCAGCCCTCCACCTCCTGTCCCCTGTGGCCCAGGCCCCCGGGGCCTGACTCTGTGTCCCCCTCCAGGGGCTGAGGCGCTGCTGTCCAGGCAACTCAGCCCGTCGGCCCAGGAACGCCTGGCCTCGCTGCAGGAACAGGTGGCTGTGCTCACCAGACAGAACCAGGAACTGATGGAGAAGGTCCAGGTAGGGAAAGTGAGGCTGGGGACAGATCTGAGGACCTAGGGCTGGTTCCCTGAGGTCAGGGTGGGCAGGGAAAGTGGCAAAGCTGCCCTGTGTCCCCACGGTCACATCAACCCCTGCCAGACTCCTGCCCCCCACCCCACTCCCCAGATCCTGGAGAACTTTGAGAAGGATGAGACACAGATGGAAGTGGAAGCTTCAGCAGAGGTCATCCCTCTTGCCCTCTATGACTCTCTCCGGGCCGAGTTTGACCAGCTGCGCAGGCAGCACGCTGAGGCCCTGCAGGCACTGAGGCAGCAGGAGACACGAGAGGTCCCCAGAGAAGAGAGGGCGGCCTATGGGGAGAGTGAGGGTGTTGGAGCCACAGCCACCAAAAACGGGCCAACCCACATGGAGCTAAATGGCTCAGTGGCTCCAGAAACCAAAGTTAATGGAGCTGAGACCACAGATGAGAAGGCTGCAGGAGATGAAACCATGGAAGCCAGGACTATGGAAGCCACGTCCACGGCAGCTGAGGCCACGGGAGCCACGGCCACAGAGACAAAACCCACAGGGGCTGAGGTCAGAGAAATGGAGACTGTAGAAGAGGAAGCAAACATGGAAACTAAGCCCACAGGAGTGCAGACCACAGACACAGAGGCCACAGGAGTGGAGGCCATGGGAGTGGAGGCCACAAAAACAAAAGCAGAGGAAGCAGAAGTGTTGGCCTGCAGAGTGGGTGCTGGGCAACCAGAGCCCCCAGTCACAGGGACCACAAACATGGAGGCCACAGGCTCTAGGGCCACGGGGGTAGAAGCCACAGGATTCAGTGCCACAGGTGTAGAGAACCCCGGGGTAGAGGCCATGGCCCCGGGGGTCTCTGCTGGCCCTGTCCTACATCCTGGTGCTGCAGAGGCCTCGGAAAAGCTTCAAGTAGAGCTGGAGACCAGGATTCGCGGCTTGGAGGAGGCGCTCCGGCAGCGGGAGCGGGAGGCAGCTGCGGAGCTGGAGGCGGCCCTGGGGAAGTGCGAGGCCGCGGAAGCTGAGGCGGGCCGGCTGCGAGAGCGCGTCCGCGAGGCCGAGGGCAGCGGGGCCAGCGTGGAGAGGGGTGGCGGCGACACTGCACAGCTGCGGGCCGCCCTGGAGCAGGCCCGGGAGGATCTCCGAGACCGGGACTCCCGCCTGCGGGAGCTGGAGGCGGCCTCGGCCTGCCTGGATGAGGCTCGCGCCAGCCGGCTACTCGCCGAGGAGGAGGCCCGGGGCCTGCGGGCGGAGCTGGCCCAGCGGGAGGAGGCGCGGCTGGAGCAGAGCCGGGAGCTGGAGGTGCTGCGGGAGCAGCTGGCCACGGCCAAGGCCACGGGGGAGCAGCAGCGCACAGCGGCCGCGGAGCTGGGCCGGGCACGGGACGCGGCCGAAGCCCGAGTGGCTGAGCTGGCTGCGGCCTGCGAGGAGGCGCGGCAGGGCCTGGCCGAGCTGCGGGAGGCCTCCGAGGCCCTCCGCCAGTCCGTGGTGCCGGCCACTGAGCACCGCCGGCTGCAGGAGGAGGCCCTGGAGCTGCGGGGCCGGGCAGCCAGTCTGGAGCAGGAGGTGGTGGCCACGGGCAAGGAGGCCGCCCGGCTGCGCGCGGAGCTGGAGCGGGAGCGTGTGTGCAGCGTGGCTCTCTCCGAGCACGAACGCATCGTGGGCGTCCTGCAGGCCAACGTGGCACAGCTGGAGGGGCAGCTGGAGGAGCTGGGACGGCGGCATGAGAAGACCAGTGCAGAGGTCTTCCAGGTGAGCAGGGCTGGCCCCCACCCAGCACCCCAGCGGCCACGTGGCGGCCTTTTTTTAGCCCCCCAGCCCTGAGGTGTTTTGACCCCATCGATTTTACTTGAACAGACTTATTTTATTTTTTAATTTAATTTTTTTTATTTTTTATTTTTTGAGAGGGAGTCTCGCTCTGTCGCGCAGGCTGGAATGTAGTGGCGCGATCTCGGCTCACTGCAAGCTCCACCTGGGTTCACAGCGTTTTCCTGCCTCAGCCTCCAGAGTAGCTGGGACTACAGGTGCCCGCCACCACGCCCAGCTAACTTTTTGTATTTTGTTTAGTAGAGATGGGGTTTCACCGTGTTAGCCAGGATGGTCTCGATATCCTGACCTTGTGATCCACCCCCCTCGGCCTCCCAAAGTGCTGGGATTACAGGCGTGAGCCACCGCGCCCGCTGGCTTCCTTTCTTCCTTCCTTCCTTCCTTCCTTCCTTCCTTCCTTCCTTCCTTCCTCCCTTCCTCCCTTCCTCCCTTCCTCCCTTCCTCTTCCTCTTCCTCTTCCTCTTTCTCTTTCTCTTTCTCTTTTTCTTTCTCTTCCCCCTCTTCCCCTTCCCTTCCTCTCCTTTCTTTTTGTTTTTCAGACAGGGTCTGGCTCTGTCACCAAGGCTGGAGTGCAGTGGCACAATCATAGCTCACTGCAACCTCCACCTCCTGGGATCAAGCAATCCTCCCACCTCAGCCTCCCAAGTAGCTGGTACCACAGGTGTGCACCACCATGCTCATCTAACTTTTTAATTTTTTTGTGAAGACGGGGTTTTGCTATGTTGCCCAGGGTGGTCTCAAATTCCTGAATTCATGGCTGGGCGCGGTGGCTCACGCTTGTAATCCCAGCACTTTGGGAGGCCAAGGTGGGTGGATCACCTGAGGTCAGCAGTTCAACACCAGCCTGGCCAACATAGCAAAACCCCATCTCTACTAAAAGTACAAAAAGTTAGCTGGATGTGGTGACGGGTGCCTGTAATCCCAGCTACTCAAGAGGCTAAGGTAGGAAATTTGCTTGAATTTGAGAGGTGGAGGTTGCAGTGAGCCAAGATGATGCTACTGCACTGCAGCCTGGGTGACAGAGGGAGACTCCATCTCAAAAAGCAAAAACAGAAACTTCAGCATCAGAGTCCACTGGATTAAAAATAATGAAATCTGGCCAGTTGCAGTGGCTCACACCTGTAACTCCAGCAATTTGAGAAGCCAAGGCGGGCAGATCACATGAGCCCAGGAGCTCGAAACCAGCCTGGGCAACATGGCAAAACCCCATCTCGACAAAAAATACAAGAAAACAGGTTGGGTGTGGTGGCTCTTGCCTTTAATCCCAGCACTTTGGGAAGCTGAGGCAGGCAGATCACCTGAGGTCAGGAGTTTGAGAACAGCCTGGCCAACGTGGTGAAACCCCATCTTTACTAAAAATACAAAAATTAGGTTGGCATTGTGGCACGTGCCTGTACTCCCACCTACTCAGGAAGCTGAGGCATGAGAATCGCTTGAACCCGGGAGGCGGAGGTTGCAGTGAGCCAAGATTGCACCACTGCACTCCAGCCTGGGCAGCAGAGCAAGACTCTGTATCAAAAAAAAAAAAACAACAAGAAAACAGTAGCCAGGGTCGGGCACGGTGGCTCATGCCTGTAATCCCAGCACTTTGGGAGGCCGAGGTGGGCGAATCAAGAGGTCAGGAGATCGAGACCATCCTGGCTAACACAGTGAAACCCCCGTCTCTACTAAAAATACAAAAAATTAACCAGCCTGGTGGCAGGCGCCTGTAGTCCCAGCTACTCAGAAGGCTGAGGCAGGAGAATGGGATGAACCCAGGAGGCAGAGCTTGCAGTGGGCTGAGATCACGCCACTGCACTCCAGCCTGGGCGACAGAGCGAGACTCCGTCTCAAAAAAAAAGAAAAAGAAAAAAAAAAACAACGAAAACAGTAGCCGGGCGTGGTGGCATGCACCTGTGGTCCCAGCTACTTGGAAGGCCGAGGTGGAAGGATCCCTTGAGCCTGAAAGATTGAGGGTACAGTGAGCTATGATCGCACCACTGTACTCCAGCCAGGACTGCAGCTCTGGAGCAACAGAGCAAGACTCTGTGTTTAAAAAAATCCAGGCCGGGCGCGGTGGCTCAAGCCTGTAATCCCAGCACTTTGGGAGGCCGAGACAGGTGGATCACGAGGTCAGGAGATCGAGACCATCCTGGCTAACACGGTGAAACCCCGTCTCTACTAAAAAATACAAAAAACTAGCCGGGCGAGGTGGCGGGCGCCTGTAGTCCCAGCTACTCGGGAGGCTGAGGCAGGAGAATGGCGGGAACCCAGGAGGCGGAGCTTGCAGTGAGCCGAGATCTGGTCACTGCGCTCCAGCCTGGGCGACAGAGCGAGACTCCGTCTCAAAAAAAAAAAAAAAAAAAAAAAATCCAAAAATACAAAAACAAAGTAGAAGGGTCATATGAATTCTGGGGTCTAGCATCATTGGAGTCTTTAGTGTCCTGAGAGTCACGCGTGGGCTTGGGCCGCAGGTGCAGCGTGAGGCCCTGTTCATGAAGAGTGAGCGACATGCCGCCGAGGCGCAGCTGGCCACAGCAGAGCAGCAGCTACGGGGGCTACGGACCGAAGCGGAAAGGGCTCGCCAGGCCCAGAGCCGGGCCCAGGAGGCTCTGGACAAGGCCAAGGAGAAGGACAAGAAGGTGGGTGCCCCCTCTCCCACACCCGGTCAGGGAGGCATTCACTCAGCAAAGGTTGAGGACAGTCTATGAAGGTCCCCGCTGCAAGGGCCTTGGAAAATCAACCCATTTTCCAGAAGGGAAACTGAGGCTCAGAAACAGAAGGGGACCTGGTTACAGCCTCTGATAAGTCAGACACACAGAGGCTGCTGTTCCAGTTACTAATTATAACCACAGTTACTTTTATTTTATTTTATTTATATATTTTTTGAGATGGAATCTCGCTCTGTCACCCAGGTTGGAGTGCAGTGGCGCCATCTCGGTTCACTGCAAGCTCCGCCTCCCGGGTTCACGCCATTCTCCTGCCTCAGCCTCCCGAGTAGCTGGGACTACAGGCGCCCGCCACCACACCTGGCTAATTTTTTGTAGTTTTGGTAGAGATGGGGTTTCACTGTGTTAGCCAGGATGGTCTTGTTCTCCTGACCTCATGATCTGCCCACCTCGGCCTCCCAAAGTGCTAGGATTACAGGCATGAGCCACTGCACCCAGCCTTATTTTATTTTATTTTATTTATTTATTTATTTTTTTTTTTGAGACAGAGTCTCGCTCTGTCACCCAGGCTGGAGTGCAGTGGCCTAATCTCAGCTCACTGCAAGCTCCGCCTCCCGGGTTTACGCCATTCTCCTGCCTCAGCCTCCCGAGTAGTTGGGACTACAGGCGCCCACCACCTCACCTGGCTAGTTTTTTGTATTTTTTAGTAGAGATGGGGTTTCACCGTGTTAGCCAGGATGGTCTCCATCTCCTGACCTCGTGATCCGCCCGTCTCGGCCTCCCAAAGTGCTGGGATTACAGGCTTGAGCCACTGCGCCCGGCCGGCCTCGAACTTCTTAGCTCAAGTGATCTGCCTGCCTCAGCCCCACAAAGGGCTGGGGTTACAGGCGTGAGCCACCGCATCTGTCCCCACAGTTACATTTATTTTTTATATATTTATTTACTTTTGAGACGGAGTCTCGCTCTGTTGCCCAGGCTGGAGTGCAGTGGTGTGATTTCGGCTCACTGCAAGCTCCACCTCCTAGGTTCACACCATTCTCCAGCCTCAGCCTCCCGAGTAACTGGGATTACAGGCACCCACCACCACGCCTGGGTAATTTTTTGTAGTTTTAGTACAGACGGGGTTTCACCATGTTAGCCAGGATGGTCTTGATCTCCTGACCTCGTGATCCACCCACCTCAGCCTCCCAAAGTGCTGGAATTACAGGTGTGAGCCACCGCGCCCGGCCCAGTTACATTTATTGAGTGCTTTCTGCATGCCAGACCTTATGGACTTGATGCATTTAATCATATCCAGTTCTCACAGGATAGGTGCTTTTATTATCCCCATTTGAGGAAACATAAGCACAGAGGGGTGAAGTCACTTACCCAGGGTCACACAGCCATGCAGTCTTTCAGCTGGGTTTGTACCCACGCTCCCACATTCCCACGTTTGTTCCTAAACAATGATGATAACAGCAGCCTCCAGTTGTTAGATTGGGAATTTTTCACACATTACCTTTGGTTTTTTGTTTGTTTGTTTGTTTTTTGAGAGAGAGTCTCGCTCTGTCGCCCAGGCTGGAGTGCAGTGGTGCGATCTCGGCTCACTGCAAGCTCCACCTCCCAGGTTCACGCTATTGTCTTGCCTCAGCCTCCCCAGTAGCTGGGACTACAGGTGCCCGCCACCACGCCCAGCTAATTTTTTATGTGTTTTTAGTAGAGATGGGGTTTCACCATGTTAGCCAGGATGGTCTCGATCTCCTGACCTCGTGATCCACCCGCCTCGGCCTCCCAGAGCGCTGGATTACAGGTGTGAGCCACTGCGCCCGGCCTTACACGTTACCATTTTTAATCTTCCTGCAACTCTAAAAGCCAGAAAGCCTTTTTTTTTTTTTTTTTTTGGGGACAGGGTCTCACTTTGTCACCCAGGCTGGAATGCAGTGGCACAATCTCAGCTCATTGGACCCTTGACCTCCTGGGTTCAAGCGATCCTCCTGCCTCAGCCTCCTGAGTAGCCGGGACTACAGGTGTGTGCCACCACACCTGGCTAATTTTTTTGTTTCTTCTTTTTTTTTTTTTTTTTTTGAGACGGAATCTGGCTCTGTTGCCCAGGCTGGGGTGCAGTGGCCAGATCTCAGCTCACTGCAAGCTCCGCCTCCTGGGTTTACACCATTCTCCTGCCTCAGCCTCCCGAGTAGCTGGAACTACAGGCGCCCGCCACCTCACCTGGCTAGTTTTTTTTGTATTTTTTAGTAGAGACGGGGTTTCACCGTGTTAGCCAGGATGGTCTCGATCTCCTGACCTCATGATCCGCCCGTCTCGGCCTCCCAAAGTGCTGGGATTACAGGCTTGAGCCACCGTGCCCGGCCTTGTTTCTTTTTTTGAGAGAAAGTTTCACTCTGTCGCTCAAGCTGAAGTACAGTGGTGCAATCTCGGCTCACTGCAACCTCGCCTCCTGGGTTCAAGAGATTCTCCTGCCTCAGCCTCCTGAGTAGCTGGGATTACAGGCATGCACCACCACACCCAGCTAATTTTTGTATTTTTAGTAGAGACAGGGTTTCACCATGTTGGCCAGGCTGGTCTTGAACTCCCGACCTCAGGTGATTCAGCCTCCCAAAGTGCTGGGATTACAGGCATGAGCCACCATGCCTAGCCTGTTTTGTTTTTGTTTTTGTTTTTTTTGGTAAGAGACAGGGTTTCAAACGCCATATTGCCCAGGTTGGTCTCAAACTCTTCAGCTCATGTGATCTTTCTGCCTCAGCCTCACAAAGTGGTAGGATGACAGACGTGAGCCACTGCACCTGGTTTCAGAAAGTATTTTTGTCCCCATTTTCCAGATGAGCAAACTGAATCTTTAAGAGATGAAGTTAGTGGCTCAAAATCACGCAACATGTCACTGGACAGGAGATGAGACACCCAGAGTCCCAGGCGCTTCAGCATAAAGAATGACCCAGCCTCGACTCACTGTGTGACCTTAGACCAGACACTTCACCTCTCTGAGCTTCAGTTTCCGCCTCTAAACAGAGGGCAAAATTGCAGTTAGGATGATGGTTTATCTATAGCCTGGTTTCTTCCCCTGCGCACTGTGGACGTCGAGGCAGGATCGTTTCCTGGGCTGGGGCTGTCCTGGGCATTGGAGGGGACTGAGCAGCATCCCTGACCTCCACCCACTCCATGCCAAGAGCTTCTCCAGGTCGTGTTGTCCTCACACAACACCCAGTGTCCCCTTGGGGGGCAGAATTGCCTCAAGTTGAAAACCCCTGATGTATAGTAATAATAAGGCCCTGCATTTATTGAGTGCCTACTGTTGACCAGGCACAGTTTAAACATACTTTCTGTGGAGGATCACAGCTACTACTAAGTTAAGAACTTGGCCGGGCACAGTGGCTCACGCCTGTAATCCCAGCACTTTGGGAGGCCGAGGCAAGTGGATCACCTGAGGTCAGGAGTTCGAGACCAGCCTGGCCAACATGGCGAAAACCCGTCTCTACTAAAAATATAACCATTAGCCAGACGTGGTAATGGGCACCTGTAGTCCCAGCTACTCAGGAGGCTGAGGCAGAAGAATTGCTTGAACCTGGGAGGCGGAGGTTGCAGTGAGTGGAGATCACACCAGTGCACTGCACTGCAGCCTGGGTGACAGAGCGAGACTCTATCTCAAAAAAAAAAAAAAAAGACAAAAACAAAAAACGTGAAAACCAATTTTAGCTTGTGGGTTGTATAAAAACAGGCTGTGCTGGTAACCATAAGCATCTAAAATAGAAATAAATAAATAAATAAATAAATAAATAAATAAATAAATGAAATTAAAACAGGCTGTGGGCCAGACGTGGCACTCAGGCCAGAGTTTGCCTGGGACAGGACCTTCCCTCGAAGGCCTTTATCCCTGGCCTTTTCCTGCGGCTGCAGAGAGGTCCTCAGCCCCCAGCCCTGGGCCCAGGGTGATGGCTGACAGCACTTGCACCCCCAGATCACAGAACTCTCCAAAGAAGTCTTCAGTCTTAAGGAGGCCTTGAAGGAGCAGCCGGCCGCCCTGGCCACCCCCGAGGTGGAGGCCCTCCGTGACCAGGTGAAGGATTTACAGCAGCAGCTGCAGGTAAGGGCCGGGCCGGGCGGGGGCCGCGGGACCATCAGGATGGAGGAGTCCAAATATTTACCAATCAGCACAGCATGGGTGGGGATCCCAGGAGAGGGGCTGGGGTGGGTTGGTGGCGTCCACATCACCTGCACGGTGCGGCCAGGAAATATTTCCTTTATTTCTTTTGAGACAGGGTCTCACTCCACCCAGGTGGAGTGCAGTGGCACAGTCTTGGCTCCCTGCAGCCTCAGCCTTCCGGGTTTAAGCAATTCTTGTGCCTTAGCGTCCTGTGTAGCTGGAATTACAGACACGCACCACCACACACCCAGCTAATTTTTGTATTTTATTAGAGACGGAGTTTCCCCATGTTGGCCAGGCTGGTCTCAAACTCCTGGGCTCACATGGACCTCCCAAAATGCTGGGATTGCAGACGTGAGCCACTGCTCCTGGTACCCACTCCCCCTTTTTTTTTTGGACACAGGATCTTGTGCTATCAGGCTGGAGTGCAGTAGTGCAATCATAGCTCACTGGGCAGCCTCAAACTCCGGGCCTCAAGCAGTTCTCCACCTCAGCCTCCCAAAGTGCCTGGCCATATTTCCATATATCTATATCTATATCTATATCTTTGTAAAAAGACAAAAAAATATATATAGATATAGATAGATAGATAGACAGACAGACAGATAGATATTTTGAGACAGTCTCACTCTGTCACCCCGGCTGGAGCGGGTGATCTTGGCTCACTGCAACCTCTGCCTCCCAGCTCCCAAGTTCAAGTGATTCTCCTGCCTCAGCCTCCTGACTAGCTGGGACTATAGGTGTGAGCCGCCTTGCCTGGGAATTTTTTTTTTTTTTTTTTTTTTTTTTGAGATGGAGTCTCACTCCGTTGCTCAGGCTGGAGTGCAGTGGCACAATCTCAGCTCACTGCAACCTCCGCCTCCCGGGTTCAAGCGATTCTCCTGCCTCAGCCTCCCGGGTAGCTGGGACTACAGGCACCCACCACCATACCCACCTAATTTTTTGTACTTTTAGTAAAGACGGGGTTTCACCGTGTTAGCCAGGATGGTCTCGATCTGTTGACCTCGTGATCCGTCCGCCTCGGCCTCCCAAAGTGCTGGGATTACAGGCATGAGCCACCGCGCCCAGCCAATTTTTGTATTTTTAGTAGAGACAGGATTTCACCATGTTGGTCCAGGCTGGTCTTGAACTCCTGACCTCAGGTGAGCCGCCAGCCTCAGCCTCCCAAAGTGCTGGGATTACAAATGTGTGCCACTGTGTCCGGCCATCGTTTCATATTTTAGCAGTCGTCCATCAAAATACAGGCTTGGGGAGCAAAGGGCACTTTTTGGTGTGTTTTGCTGTGGGGGAGGTGGTCCTGTTCTTCTGAGCACCCCTCCCTCATACCTCCAGGAAGCTGCCAGGGACCACTCCAGCGTGGTGGCTTTGTACAGAAGCCACCTCCTCTACGCCATTCAGGTGAGTGGCCAGCTCCCGGGTGCCCGGTGGCTTTGGGCAGGCCACGATTGTTCTCTCGGTCTCAGTTTCCCCTTCTGTACAGTGGGAGGCTGGTCCTGGGGAGAGGTTCGTGGCAGGTGGGAGCCCACCTGTGTGCATTTCCCTCCTGGCTGGCTTGGTCTTTGGGAGTGGTGGAGGGGCCTGGGGCAGCCGTCGGGGGTACACTCAGGGTCCCCCTCTACTCCCCCCACCCTAGGGCCAGATGGATGAAGACGTGCAGCAGATTCTCAGCCAGATTCTGCAGATGCAGAGACTCCAGGCTCAGGGCCGCTGAGAAAGGCCAGGCCCAGTGGCTACACTGACCACACCCATGCAGGGGCCTCACGCCCCTGCAGGCCCCTTGCAGACCGGCTTCACTTGGCCCCATCCGGACCCATGCACTTGGAGACCAGCCTGGGTCCCTGCCCGACCGTCCCCAGCTGGCTCCATCGCCCCACCTGGTCTCCGCACGCAGGCACTGGTCAGTCTGGACCCGGGGCGTCACTGCCCCTCCCCCACCACCGGAGAATCTGTGAGTCCCTGTGTCCTCCACATCCAGACGCCAGCCCAGGAATAAAGGCATTCTGTGCACAGGACCAATGCGTGCCGTCTGGTTGCTGGGCTTCCCCTGTGGGGAGGGAAGGGGGTGGCCCAGAAAAGGAAGCACTCACACCCCTCCCCACCTGCCCCACAGCACAACAAATCAACCATCAGGATAAACTCCAACTTTTTTCTTCCTTTTCTTTTTTTGAGACAGAGTCTGGCTCTGTCGCCCAGGCTAGAGCGCAGTGGCGCGATCTCGGCTCACTGCCAGCTCCGCCTCCTGGGTTCACGCCATTCTCCTGCCTCAGCTTCCCAAGTAGCTGGGACTACAGGCGCCCGCCACCACGCCCAGCTAAGTTTTGTATTTTTAGTAGAGACAGGGTTTCACTGTGTTAGCCAGGATGGTTTCGATCTCCTGACCTCATGATCCGCCCGCCTCGGCCTCCCAAAGTGCTGGGATTACAGGCATGAGCCACTGCACCTGTTTTATTATTATTTTTTTTTTATGTGGAGTCTCCCTCTGTCACCCAGTCTGGAGTGCAGTGGAGCGATCTCAACTCACTGTAACCTCTGCCTCCCGGGTTCTCGTGATTCTCCTGCCTCAGCCTCCCAAGTAGCTGGGATTACAGGCGCCTGCCACCACGCCCAGCTAATTTTTGTATTTTTTCTTTTTTTTCTGAGACGGAGTTTCATTCTTGTCCCCAGGCTGGAATGCAGTGGCATGATCTCGGCTCACTGCAACCTCTGCCTCCCGGGTTCAGGTGATTCTCTTGCCTCAGTCTCCCCAGTAGCTGGAATTACAAGCCACACACCATTACGCCTGGCTCGTTTTTGTATTTTTAGTAGAGATGGGGCTTCACCACGTTGGCCAGGCTGGTCTCAAACTCCTGACTTCAGGTGATCCACCTGCCTCGGCCTCCCAATGTGCTGGGATGACAGGTATGAGCCACTGTGCCCGGCCTTTGGATAAACTCCATCTTTTTTTTTTTTTTTTTTTTTGAGATGGAGTCTTGCTCTGCCGCCCAGGCTGGAGTGCAGTGGCGTGATCTCGGCTCACTGCAAGCTCCACCTCCCGGGCTCACGCCATTCTCCTGCCTCAGCCTCCCGAGCAGCTGGGACTACAGGCGCCCGCCACCGCGCCCGGCTAATTTTTCTTTTTGTATTTTTAGTAGAGATGGGGTTTCACCATGGTCTCGATCTCCTGACCTTGTGATCCGCCCGCCTCGGCCTCCCAAAGTGCTGGGATTACAGGCGTGAGCCACCGCGCCCGGCCCGATAAACTCCATCTTAATGCAATATTTCAAAAAGGCAAAATGGGAGCAAAAAAAGTGCATGATGAACTAAGTATGGAAATGTCAAAGAAAGGCAGGATTGGCTGCGTGCAGTGGCTCATGCCTGTAATCCCAGCACTTTGGGAGACCAAGGTGGGAGGATTGTTTGAGCCCAGGAGTTGAAGACCAGCCTGGGCAACATGGGGAAACTCCATCCCTATCAAAAATACAAGAATTAGCTGGGAATGATGGTGTGCACCTGTGGTGCCAGCCACTCAGGAGGCTGAGGAGGGAGGATTGCTTGAGCCCAGCAGTTAAGAGGCTGCAGTAAGCCATGATCGCACTACTGCACCCCAGCCTGGGTGACAGGGCAGGACCCTGCCTCTAAAAACGGGAAAAAAGAAAAAAAAAAAGACACTCTCCTAAATCCTAAGCCTGGCCATGGTGGGAGCCCCACCCCCCAACCTCTCCCTGCCCCTTGGCAAATCCCTCGAAATCCCCACGAGTTTCTTGGCATTTTTCAGCAAACAGAGGGGAGGTGGGAGTGGGAGTGGAGATCCCCGAGCCTGTCCAGCCTGCCCCTGGGGCTTTCCTTTATTCTGGGCATACTGATGACTGGGACATCTGTGGTGGCAGCTGCTTCCCCAGGCCTGCACTTGTGTGTCTCTCTGTCTCTCTTCTCCATGTCTCTCTCTTTTTTTTTTTTTTTTTTGAGACGGAGTTTCACTCTTGTTGCCCAGGCTGGAGTGCAGTGGCGCGATCTGGGCTCACTGCAACCTCCACCTCCCGGGTTCAAGCGATTCTCCTGCCTCGGCCTCCAGAATAGCTGGGATTACAGGCACGCGCTACCACGCCCATCTGATTTTTATATTTTTAGTAGAGACGGGGTTTCACATGTTGGTCAGGCTGGTCTCGAACTCCTGACCTCAGGTGATCCACCCATCTTGGCCTCCCAAAGTGCTGGGATTACAGGCGTGAGCCACTGTGCCCAACCTCCATGTCTCTGTCTCTATCTCTTGGTCTCCATCTCTGTCTCCCTCTACCTTTGTGTCTTTCTCCTCTCTTACCTCTGTCTCTCTGTGTCTCTTTTGCTCTGTCTCTCTCATCTCCCCATCTCCCATCTCTCTGGCTCTTTCTATCTCTGTCTTCTTTTTCTTTGACACAGAGTCTCACTCTGTCTCCCAGGCTGGAGTACAGTGGCGCGACCTCAGCTCACTGCAACCTCCGCCTCCCAGGTTCAAGCGATTCTTCTGCCTTAGCATCCCAAGTAGCTGGGATTAGAGGTGTGCACAACCATGCCCAGCTGATTTTTGTATTTTTAGTAGAGGCGAGGTTTCACCATATTGGCCAGGCTGGTCTCAAACTTCTGACCTTGTGATCCGCCCGCCTCAGCCTCCCAAAGTGCTGGGATTAGAGGCATGAGCCACCGCACCCGGCCCTCTGTCTTCTTCTCTTATCTCTCTCTCTCTGTGTCTCTCATCTCCCCGTATCTCTATTTCTGCCTTCCTCTCTTGTTTCTGTCTCTCTTTCTCTGTCTCTGTCGTCTCCCCATCAGTCTATCTTTTTTGTTGTTGTTGTTTTTGAGACGGAGTCTTGCTGTGTCACCCAGGCCGGAGTGCAGTGGTGTAATCTTGGTTTACTGCAACCTCTGCCTCCCAGGTTCAAGTGATTCTCCTTCCTCAGCCTCCAGAGTAGCTGAGATTACAGGCACCCGCCACCATGCCCAGCTAATTTTTGTATTTTTAGTAGAGACAGGGTTTCACCATGTTGGTCAGGCTGGTCTCGAACTCCCAACCTCAGGTGATCCATCCGCCTCAGCCTCCCAAGGTGCTGGGATTACAGCCGTGAGCCACTGCACCCCACCATCTCTCTATCTCTGTCTATCCTACTCTCTCATCTCTGTCTCTCTGTCTTCCTCTCTTATCTCTGTCTCTCATCTCTCTGTCTTCCTCGCTTATCTCTGTCCCTCTGTCTCTCTTCCTCTGTCTGCTCTCTGTGTGTCTCTTTCTGTTTCCATCATCTCCCTGTCTCTCTCTCTCTGTGTCCTCCTCTCATCTCTGTCTCTCTGTCATCTCCCTGTCTCTCTATCCCTCTACCTCTGTGTCCTCCTCTCATCTCTCTCTGCCTCTCATCTGTCTCTCTCTGTGTCTGTCTCTGTCATCTCCCCGTCCCTCTAGCTCAGTGTCCTCCTCCCGTGTTCTCTGTCTCTCTGCCTCTCTCTCCGGTGTCTGCCTCTGTCTCCCTCCATGTCCCCGAGCCCCTGCCTGCCTGCCTGGGGTTTCCCCGACTGCAGGGCAGCGGAAGGAAGGCCAGCAGGACACGCTGTGCTGGGAAAAACCAGCAGGTCTCCACTTCTCCCTTTCACAGCCTCCTCCCCCCGCCCCCACCCTCGGGGCCTTCCGCGCAGGGGTGGCCTGCACTCCCCAGGGGGCTGGGGCTCCTCCGCACCCTAATTCATCTCCCTAGGAGCCCGGCCAGTGAGTCAGACCTGAAGGAAGTCGAAGGGGGTCCTTGACCCTGGACTGGGCTTTCCCCTGGGCAGGTCCCAAGTCCTCACCACCTCCCCTCTCAAGTCTCCCATGACGTTCCCACCCCCACTCCTGAGAGCAGAGCTGGCCGCAGCCATGACCTCGCAGCTTCTCCTGGCCCTTGTCCTCTGGGCTGGCTGCCTGCCCTGCAGTGGAAGGAAAGGTATGTGGGGTCCCTGGGGGGCCTGGGGGACCCAGGCAGACGGACATGACGCGCGGACTAGCCTCGGATCATGTCTGAGGTGGGAACTCACAGGCCTCCTGTGTGCCCACTGGTGGGATGGGGTTACCCTCCCATTGTACAGATGGAGGAACTGAGGCACAGAGAGGCAGTGCCACATTAGGGGTGGAAGCATGTCACCTTGTGGGTGATAGGGACTGGCAGTCACAGCTTAGAGGTATCCATAGAGCTGCACAGACATAAGTACGAATTCAAGTCATAGTCATTCATTTTGTTTCTTTTGGTTTCTGTTTTTTGAGACGGAGTCTCTGTTGCCCAGGCTGGAGTACAGTGGCACCATCTCGGCTCACTGCAACCTCCACCTCCTGGGCTCAAGCGAGATTCTCCTTCCTCAGTCTCTCGAGTAGCTGAGACTACAGGCGCCTGCCACCACACCCGGCTACTTTTTGTATTTTTAGTAGAGACAGGGTTTTACCATGTTGGCCAGGCTGGTCTCCAACTCCTGACCTCAGGTGATCCACCCTCCTCGGGCTCCCAAAGTGCTGGGATTACAGATGTGAGCCACCGCGCCCGGCCGACATTCATTTTGCACTAGAGAACATTTCCATGTCCTTGAAGACAAAATGGTTACAGCAGGGCATGGTGGCTCATGCCTGTAATTCCAGCACTTTGGGAGGCCAAGGCGTGAGGATCACGTGAGGCCAGGAATTCGAGACCAGCCTGGGCAACATAGTGAGACCGGCCCCCACCAATCTGTACAAAAAATTTAAAAATTAGCTAGATGTGGTGGCACGTGCCTGTAGTCCCAGCTACTTGGGAGGCTGAGGTGGGAGGATCGCTTGAGCCCAGGAATTGGAGGCTGCAGTGAGCTATGATTGTGCCACTGCACTCCAGCCTGGGTGATAGAGTGGGATACCTTGTCTCCAACATAATAATAATAATAATAATAATAATAATAATTTATAGGCTGGGTTTGGTGGCTCACACCTGTAATCCCAGCACTTTGGGAGACCAAGGCAGGTGGATCACCTGAGGTCAGGAGTTTGAGACCAGCCTGGCCAACATGGTGAAAC